TATTCACATATTGAAAGTTCCTCTAAAAAAATTGTTAAGATCCCAAATGGTGCTGGAGTACAGAATGTTAGAGTGTTTTTGAGGAAATTAAATCAATAATAACATCAAACTTAAGTCTGGCACATTATGATCCAAATAAGGATATTATTGTTTCAAGTGATGCTAGTAATTTGGGCTTAGGAGCTGTAATATTGTATAAAGAAAACAATGGCCAAGTAAAAGCAATTGCACATGTGTCAAGGATCCTATTGCCAGCTGAAAAAGGATACAGCCAAATTGAAAAAGAAGCTTTAGGGATAATTTTTGCAGTAAAAAGGTTCCATAGATTCATGCATGGGAGGAGTTTTATGCTTCAAATGGACCATCAATTTATTGTCTATTTTTGTTTCCAAAAAAAGGGATTCCTACACATACACATATGGCAAGTTAACTTCAGAGATGAGGAACAATATTATTAAATTATAATTTTAAGATAAAGTTCCTTCCATCAAAGAGCTTGGGTCATGCAGATGTGTTATCCAGGCTAATCCCCAAACTATGTGATCCATTAGAGGAAACTGTGATAGCAGCATTAAGAATAGAAATGGAAATAAAACATAATGCTATGCCAAACCATACGGGAATTATCTGTGACACTCGAGGAAATCAGGATCAAAGAAAAAAATAGACAAGTATATCACAGAGAAAAAGAAGCAAATTAGTAGCCAACATTACAAAAAGAATGATGATGAAAAATTTTCATACCGGACACCCTGGTATATCAAGGATGAAAGCTTTAATGAGAAACTGTTTTTTGGCCTAATATGGCCAAAGATATAGAGAAAAATGTAAAAACATGCAGAGGTTGTGCGATGGTAGCAAAGGTACCAATGGTGAGATTTAACGCATGGCCAATTTTACAGGTCTGATAAAGGGACAATATTGATGGTTGATAGATTTTTGAAATCGCCAGAGGTGATAAAATTTAAAAAATCCTATGTGTAGTGGTATGATAAAATTTTTGCATGAACTTTTTGCAAAATTCAGTGTTTCAGATACAATTGTGTTGGACAATGGCACACAATTCATGGCAAAAGAGTTCAGAAATTTTTGCAATTTTTTTCAATTGTACATCTGGATACCACACCATATCATCCATGATTTAGCAGAAAGATTTGTGGATATTTTCAAGTGAACATTAAAAAAGGCAGATGGAAACAAATCCATTGACAAGATACTACAATTCTTAAGAGTTTATCAGGTGACACTGAAATCAAGTACAAATTTGGGGTTGTCACCGACAGAATGTTTGCAAGGAAAATAAAATTGGTATTCGACAAGCTGTTACCAAAATAAAATAAAAAAGAAGTAAGTAAAAACAAAATTACAAAAACCTATACACCAAGAGAAAAGATTTTTTCAAAGAATATAGGTGTGGTAAAGAGGTTCTGAAATGCTGGTGTTATAAATAAACATATTGAGAGATTGATGTAGATATTTACTCAACCCCCCATGAGGTCAGGTTGTGACACAAGGTCGGTTTAATGTGGGGAGCCTGAGTGCGTGCACCCAGGCAAGGAACAAAAATTCCCCTCAGCCCCCACAACCGTCAGTTGCGCTGATCTTGGTGCATGCACCGATCCTTCTCTCTAGTGCAATGAGAAGGTGTGGCCTCAGGCAGCTGTTCCCCAGGGCCGGCACCTCTCAGTATAACTTTCTTCCGTTGCAACTCTGTTCTTTGACGGAGTTGCCTCTGAGTGCACTCTGTCCAAGGACAGAGATGCAACTGAGAGATGATAAGTAGACGTGAAATTACTCAAAAAGATTGATGTACATGATTAAAGACCCAAAAATGACAATTAAGAAACATCACAACCAGATAAGGTAAAGGTACTTGGACGGTATAAATAACCGAAGGAAAGAGCCAGTGAAGGTTATTCATGACCTATTTGAGGTACCAAAGCCTTTAGTAGCCCCAGACGAGATGTTTGACTAAACAAAAAAGGAAATTGTCAGGGATTATACAAATAAACCCCAAAAGACAAAGATACAACTTACAGAGGAAGTAGTAAATTCAAAAAAGAGGGATGTTTTGGAGTACTGGAACACCCCCACAAGATGGACTGATCTAAAAAAATAAATAACATGCTCTCTTATTGAGAGAGTGGAAGTTGAACAAAACTGAGGTGAAGTTCATGATTAACTGTTATTCCAGCAGACTGTGTTCTCAACTGTTAGTACTGCATTATACTTCGGAATAAATTACTACTACTTTTTATATGTATACTGACTTATCCATTTCATGATGCAACAATCTGTTCTTTGTATTTTTTGGCTGCCTACTTCTTGCATCATTGTGAACTCTTTTTTTTTTGCCCTCCCTTGAACTGCCTGTGCCACTCAATTTCTTAATAGCATGTTCAGCAGAAGCCATTTTTTTAATAAGGCTAATGCTTTATTAGCAATTTTAATAAACTTCATGCAAAACTTGATGTCAATCTGCTGTTCCTGATTCCTTCCACTCATTTTCCTCCAACAGTACAACATGAACATATACAACTTCCTCTACTGCTCAGCAATGAATGAATAATCTGGTTTATATCTCAAGAAAGTAGAAGTTGAAACATATCCAGATGTGCTCAGGTACAAATAATTACTGACTTATTACCCATGGAACATGCTGCATTCATTTGGAGAATCAAAGTATCATACTTTGTATATATAATTATGAGAATAGATGAAAGTTCTTATGAATTGATTTAATAAATCCTACCTGTGATATCCCTAGTTACAGTGCTAGTAGTTAATAATTTTCTTGTTGCTAATCCCAGAATAAGATTACTTATTTGAATGTTTTTTGTGTGTAACATTTTAATCTAGAAATACCTCTATAAATTTGTGACACAATGTGACTTGACCAGGATCAGGATACTCACATAGTATAGTGGATAGGGGAATAATTTAAGCTGGGTGCGAAATGTCTGGTGTTTTATGAACAAAAGAATTTCTAGATATGAAACTTCCAAAAAAAAAAAAAAAAAAAAAAAAAAAAAAAAAAAACACCCACTGTTCACAAGTAGGAAAAAAGAAAAGGGTAAATAAATAAAAACTTTCAGAATTTGTGTTACTCACCTGGAAGGTTCTTACCTTTCAGCTGAGTGATGCAAACCCCAGCCATGGGATTAGATGGTCAGAACAGATTCTAGAAAAGTCAGTCAGAAAGCTGTGTGTCAAGATGTAGAGACGAGTAGAGGGGTAGTAGGAGAGTGTTAGTAGTCAGAGTGAGGGGAGAGAGCAAGAGAGATGTTGAGTTGGAGAGAGATGGAATTCTCACAAGCCAAAGGGAAGCTCTGGTCATTTAATCTGTCATGAGAAAAGACAAAAGTAGCAGCAAAGATATCCAAAGGGTCACTTACATATGCATGGAAAGAGCATTATGTCTGGCTTGAAACTTGGTCAGTGAATAAAGAAATTAATATACTGGAAACAGAACTTGGGTTTTCTTTTCTCAATTATTTTTCCTTCTGTTCCTTTATGGAACATACACCATTCCTTTCTCAGTTTTTGTTCACACTGATGCAAATGAGAATTAAAACACATTGTGGGGTGAAGCTGTCTATAGTCAGTGAAAGGCTAACAGAGCACTGCACTTGTATGTTTACAAATTGTTTACTAACCTGGTCAAAAATTACTGACTGGGTTGGTTGCATGCATTCAGCTGCAAAAACAAAATAGTTTCATAGCTTTCATCTTAAAATATTGTTTGTAAACCTTTTGTCATTATCAGTGCTATGACCAGGTGTGGTTATAAGACTGCTGCACAGCTGAGCACTCAACCAGTTCCCTCCATATATCTGAGTTGAAGGCCAGAGAGGTATTCATTCATGTATACTGTATCTTGGTTAAGTAGATCTGGCAGAGGCCATACCTCTTCGGGTTAGACCTCAGCCAAAACCTTCTGTTATAAAATAAAATAAGACATATCTCGGCTGATTTACAGGCAAATACTCAAGAGCGAGAACCGGATGTGAACGGGACAAAGCCCCGTCACAAAATGACCATTATCTTTCTTTACAAATGTTTCCGACACACGTGTTTCGGTCGAAAAATAAAATGATATTTAAAGTGCTCTATTTTTCGTCCAATAAAAATGCTTCCCTCCTAATTATACTCGCTTCATTTCTTGAGCCTGTTAAGCCATAAAAAAACGCTATAAAAGGGGTCACACGGAAGTTCAACAGGCAGTCAACAGGTGGCCAGTGAACAGACAGGGGAGCATCAATCACCGTCAACATGTGTGAACTACTATGAGAGATCGACCAGATCCGAAAGCCGGCTTATGAACTTTACCACAAGGTAGCTGTCCTAAACCCTCACGTTCCTGTTGAAATAAACCACGTAAATCTATTTCTACTGTTGTCGTATTTCTTTCTTGCAACCATATGCTTGCCTATAACACTTCCAACTTAGTCATGAACACATGGTTATTGATTCCATTGAGGAAAACTTTATAGTTTTGGCTCTTGATTGTTGAAACTTTATAGCCCTGGCCTGCTGACCAGTAATGCTGTGTTCAGTAAACCTTTACACTTTTTACAAACATGTAACAGGTTTATCATTTAAAACTTTAAGCACTCAGAAAAAAATATCTTGATATTTGGTTTTTCTGTAATATTTTCTTTAGATAATTAAAGAGTTTAGATTGGTGGCAAGGCCTCGTCATTTTACTGTTGAAATGGCAAGAGATGTAACTGTAAGTTCTATGCTAACAGTTTCTTCTATTGCACTTCTTGCTTGTGGAAGTCTCTTTCAGCTTCTTACTTCTCAGTTAACTTTGATCTTCAAAAAATTTAAATCTAATGTTGATTGTTATCTTCTAAATTCTTGTACTTTTATTGTCCACTCTCCTTAAAAGTATATTTTTCTCATATTCTTAGTAACTCATTGTGTCTTATTGGCTTTATTGCCTAGCTTGGGGTGAACAAAAACAAAAGTTGTATATAATTATTTTTTGTACTCACTTCCCAATACAAAGATCTTTTGTTTCATTGACTCACTGATGAGAGGCTGTGCCATTGTGTAAAGAACTGGTAACAATTTAGGTGCTGAAAAACAAAAAAAGTAAAATTAAGAACCTTAAATGCAGTTTAATGAAATCAAATTATATTACACAAAAAAAAAAAAAAAAAAGAAAAAATAGCAATCTGCGGAAGGTAAAAATACCTGAAACAATAATCTACTCACATAAATATGCTGGAAATAACAATTCACTCACCTAAAGGTGGTTTTCAGAAAAATTGTAGGGGCTAAAAAATTTTAGTTATTGAGTTTTAGTGATTACATATGTGGTGGCACAAACGAATTTTGGTCTGGAAAAAAAACGTGAAGCATCTTACATAAAGTTTCCTTGTCAGGAAAACAACATAATGAACAAATATACGAACATCAAATAATGAAATAATTTGTATTTTTTAATTGTATAAATTAAAATTAAATAAATTATAATAAATTTAAGGCCAGAAAAATCAAATATTAAATAATTCAGATTTACAACAGTCAAAACAATAATTAAACAAAAGCAAATAATTTTTACAAAAGTAAACAACTTAAAAATTTTCAAACTACATTTTTCTACTTGGTATTGGATACACTTGCCATAATTGAGGTCTGAAAATAATAAACATTGGTTAAAATTTAAATTTTTCAATGTTAGATAAAAAATGTTTCTAGTTTTCTAATGTGTATCATTGGTAAAGTGTATTAATGGTTTGCTATTGCAAAATAAAAAAGGGTCGATTTTTTTCTCTAAATATTTGATTTATGCAAAAGTTTTCAGCCGTTTTTGGGGGAAATCTTTTAGTTATTTAAATTCATAGCATCATTATTTAAATCCTGATATCTTTCAAATCTTGTATTCCATTAAAAACAAAAAATATAATAATAATCCTATTTTTGTTTTTATAAATTGTTTGGGAGTTTTTCAATATCTTGAATATGTTGAAAATCCACTGAGCAGACAAGGATTGTATGTGGTTTTATTGCTGCACACTTCACTGAATGTCATGCTTTAGTCTGTGTCTGTTTCTGGCAAGCCCGCTCTGTACCTAACAGTTAGCCTGATGTTGTGTTTCAATATCTGGAGGAATACCAGTGAAGACCTATCAGAAATCAGACTTGATTCCTCTCTGTCCTGGCTATACTTGTGAAAAACTAAAGTTACCTGGGTTGCCAGTAAATGTAATTAACTTCAACAACATTCATTAACAAGTGTTAAAATAACAATCTTTATTTATGATACTATGATTAAGATCATGAATACATAAAAAAAAAGAAATTTAAAGAAATTTCCTCACATAAGGAATTCCTGAGCTTGGAGGAAGAGGTTGACTGGCAGTTGCAGTTATTGCTAAACAGCCCAGAGTTGTTCAACTATTTGAATGAAGGCAGCTGATTGAGGGAGTTCAAAAAAAGTGGCATAGAGAACAGGTCTTTAGCTGTTTGAGGCATCGCCATCATCTGGCAGGAAGAGTGTTGGTCTACTAGCAGTAAGACCAGTTTGATCTTTTTTCTGCGCTTTCGGCAACTGCTTTTATGGGGGTGCAAACCCCAATTGCACTGCTTTGATTGGCGAGCCAATAATATTGCTTGACCAGTAGTAATGGCTAGTCAATAATAATGCTTGACCAATGGTCCTGTGTCATATGCCTTGAAGGGGAGGAAGGAAAGCACCAAGAACTCAATATGATTGGTGGTCCAATCAAAAATAATGGCCCTGGTAAAAAGCTAAATCCCAGTCCTTCTCTGATTGGCAGGCCAATCAAAATTGTGGCCTTGTATCGCTCAGTGGAACATTTTCCATGGGCCCTCATTTGACCTGATTATCACAGGTGTTATTGTCACCTTCATTTGAAAGTGTACCATATCGCTGATCAAAACAGATCTGACCTGTAAAGATTTACTTTGTGTCACTGATTTTAACTAATAATTCCTTTATCAAATGAAAGCAACACTCAAGTTAAACAAATCTAAGACTGTACCTAATGACCAATCCCACCCAAGCTTACAATTTCACCCCTCACACTATACTCAATAAGTGACACAAACCAGAAATTCATGATATCACATTGTTTTAACATGAAAAATATTTTTCGTTTTTTAGAAATAAATTTCACATCACCAGTCAACCTTTGACACCAGTCATGATGTCATACTTACATGGAGTTGTGAAGTTTATGCTTTAATTTTTTTTTTGCTTTGTTTGAAATAACAACCCATTCACATGAAGATAGTTTAAAATACTACACATACATTTATAATTAGTGTGTGTGTACTCAAAGTCTGTCTTTAAGTACGAATTGATTTTCCTTAATGTAGGTTACACTCTTTGTTTGTCTGTGTAGTATTGTACAAGAGGTTACATCTTTTGGACATCAGATCCTATCAGAGTAGCAGCTTCATTCTCTGGCATCCTTCCTCATCAACGTCCATCTGGAAAAATGATTTTTCACAGTTGGTAGACTTTTGTGGACTCACTCATAAGGATAGTGATTGGTTCTTCCATATCCATCTATGCTGATGGTGATGTCATAAATGGTTGTTAGGATATTCTTATCCCTATGCTTTAGCCCTTGCATTCTTTTTTTTTTTCTTCTTTTTATATATATATATATATATATATATATATATATATATATATATATATATATATATATATATATTAATAATCAAACAAATCCTTTTTACCTCTTATGGAGAATAGGCTATTTTTGTGGATCAGTTCTAATATTTTAGCTGCCAAAATAGCCTATTCCTCATATGAGGTAAAAGGGTTTTCTTGATTATTAATTATATTGATCTGTATAAATTATATAGAAATACATAGAGTTCTTTTTTGTGGATCAGTTCTAATATTTTCATATTACTAGGATCCACTTGGATTATATACCAACTCATTTTTTTTTTACTTATATATATATATATATATATATATATATATATATATATATATATATAAGCATGTTTGGCTTAATAATCTGGACATATTATGTCTATTTATTTTTAGACTCAAATTCATGGATCAATTTCTCAATGTTGTTATTAAACTCATTAAGGAAGACACCATAGTTTTTTTTAATTCCTTTTATTTTCTCCAAGTACTCTCAATCTCATCCAAGATCATCTTCAGAGGTGAATTGCTAAGACAAAAAAATTAATGTAATTGATAATTGTGAATTTTGTTGTAGCTGTGCATGAAACGCACTCTGTTATAATTATGAACATGTATGAATGCATTCCATTATAGTCAATTTAAAAATTAACTTTTAAGAATATAATGTATCTAAGGAAGGTAAATTAATTTACATTTTATTATTATTATTGTTAAATGTTCTAAAATACTCAACCTGCAATTTAAAAAAAAAACTTTTTTTTTACAATTTAGGCATTTTAAAACATTGCTGCCATACTCATAATTAATCTTATTTAGTGTTGTTTGTATTTTTCTTATATAGAAGGCTCCAAGAATTTAAAATTTTTGTTTTTTATTTTCATGGTGGAGTATACTTGTATTGACAGTTAATTTTCCTTGAAAACATGAATGCGGACAGGAATGCTCCTTTCAATGTTGTGCAGTAGAACTTGAATCCGACATATGTAAGCCTCCATGAAAATGCTGTTGTCATGAAACCAACATATACATTTATTTTTTTGTCAGGACATTAAAATTGATATACAATGTTGGCCTTTTGCAAAACATTAGTTGACAAAGAGTTATTGCAGATGATTATGTTGGTTGTATTAAATTTAGTATAATATATAATTAGTTTTATAAAAAAATAAATTTAAAAATTTTAGTGTCCTTTCCCCTTTGTGAGCATGTGGAATTAAATCAATGGAAACATCACTTTAGTCCAATGAAGTCCTAAAAGACAAAGCATATAAACTTATCAAGGACCAAATTTAAGACTTTCACATAGAAGAATTTTGTAATATTTTACAAAATTATGTTGTGCCATTTTCACTTTTCAGTAAATTTGTGGAAGTTTAAACAAAGCCACATAAAAGGCTTGTAAAAAATGCACTACAGTTGGCTAAAGCAATAAAAAGCTGAGTGAACTTCAAACACACTTCTAAGATTTCCCTAACATTGTGTGAAAGTTGACACTAAGAACTGTCTATGGTTCTACTTAAGTGAGATAGTTTGGAAGTTAATCTTTTGCACAATCATTTTGGTACTAGCAAATATAAAAAATAAATTATCTGATACTTACCATTTATCAAAAATAATCGTTTCATCATTTCTGGATAGTTGTCTTCTAAAATTCGTGAGAGATAGATGTTAAAATCCAATCCTGAAAAAGAAATTACTCTAAATCATTTTCTCCTATTTTAGGATATGCCCAATATATATTTTATAACATGTTTATATATTTTATAATGTGTCTGTATGTACTTTTGTCTATGTCTTTTATGATATATATTTGATATGCACTTCTTAATGAAAATAACCAACAATTATTATAAATTTATTAAAACTAATTTTACATGTTACTGTTAGTGACTTAAAAAGTCCGGTTTTGTTCCCTTGTGGCATGCAGGGAGTGTGTTGTGGTCTGGGAGAGGTCTTTAAGGGCCAATAACCGTCATGCATCAGAGAGTTCCTCAAGGCCTATCAATTGTTATTGTTATATTCTATCTTTCTATTTTTATTTGGTTACAAGTCCAGACACTGCAGAGGTTTTACCAATGTGGAAGACCTATGAAGTAATAGACAGTCGGCTTTAGTTAGTGAAGTGGTGGGCGCATCAAGTTGGGCTGACTCGGATGACAACTATTCATTATTGTTAGTATCTTCATTTTCAATGCAATCAGTTCTTTCTATTAGCACTGAAGGGACCTCAAAGATTTCCTTTATTACACCAGTGTTTTCTGCCTCTGATACTGAACATAGTGCTAGATTCCTTAATGATACCATTGATTCTTGTCCATCTTGGTGCTTAATGGTAGTTGTAGGATGGATTTGAGTCTATCAGTTCAACTTCATCCACCAGAGGATCATTCTTGTTTCTAATGAACTGACGATGGAGTACTGGTCCTGGGCTTGTTAGCCAAGTTGGTAGAGAAGTACCAAAAGAAGAGCATTTTTTGAAACTAAAGAACCATTCATGTGGGTTGGAGTTGGTCATAGAGAGATCTAATGGAGTGTAGGGCATTGGGGAATACTGACTCCCAATGATTATCATCCAGTTTGACTTAAGGGCAAGTTTAATTGCTTTCCTGGAGGGTGTTATCTTGCTTGTAGCAATACCCTTATTTAATAGATAGGCCTTTATTTCTTTTGATAGAAAAGAAGTACCTTTATCAGAGCAGATATAACCTGGAAAGCCAGTTGGTGCAAATAACTGGTCCAGACATTTTATTACTGTCGATGAATACATATTTGGGAAGGGAAAAAGCAAATGGAAATCAAGAATATTCATTCACAATGATGAGGATATAAACATTACCCAAAGATGAAGATAGAGGTCCTTTAAAATCCATGCTTAGGAATTCCATTGGTTGGTTAGCTTTAATTTAAGTTCCCTTTTCAAGCAAAAAAAAAATCTTGGCTTGAGTTTTACACATGGTCGACATGAAAAACATACTTCCTTTACTTCTGTTGAGAAGGGTAGGTTCTTAGTCTGTACAAAATGGAGCATTAGTGTAATTCCAGGATGACATAGTCCTTGATGCAGATCACCAAGAGATGAAGAAGACATTGAAGCAAAAAATGCTCTAGTAAGTATGTCGGAGAAACATTTGTTCTTTTAATGTTGGTATCTTAATTGAGTAGCTAAGGGAAGGCAGCTAATGGCATTCTAAAATTTTATTGTTTTTAATTTTTGTGGCTATTGACCATGAATACCACTGAACAATGGTAAAATGTCTTGCAAGGAGGTGATTCCACTTCCTAACAGCCTTGATTATTGCTGTTGCTTCTTCTTTCTATGGAAAGGTAATGCAATTTGCTCTCCTGCAGGGTTCATGACATAAAAGCCAGTGATCTACCTCTCTAGTTTAGAGTAGTCACCCCTTCCACATCTGAAGCATCACATTCAACAACAAAGGGTAAATCTTCATCCATATTTTGCAGAGTAGAATTTTCCAGCTGTTTCTTTAGAGTTTTAAATGCTTTAATAGCTTTTGCTCTCAGTGGAAAAGACTTGTTTTTAATCAGTGGTTGGATTCTGTTGGAGAACTTTGGTATCCATTTAGCACAGTATGCAAATATACCAACAGCTCTCAAAGAATTCAGGGTTGTTGGAACAGGTAAGTCTTGAAGTGGCTGAAGTCTTTCTGGATCAAGTTTAGTTATCCTGTTACCTACCCATATTAAGTGAGGATACAGAAGATACTGTTTTTGTCACATTCAATGTAAGATTTTTAGCTTTGATGGCTGTTAAGAATCTTTTAACATTCCGGTCATGTTCTTTTTGGTTTCTCCCTACGACAATTATGTTGTTAAGGTAAGGGAATGTGTCTTAACATTTGTTCTTAGATAAGTTTGTGCATTTTCCGCTTAAAAGTAGCCACATTGTTCACTACACGAAATGGAACTCTATAATACTGATTGAGCCTCCCATTAGCTTCAAAAGCAGTAAATTTTTGTTCATTTTGCCTTGGGGGAGGGAATATGGTGGTCGGCGTTTTTTAGATCAAAGTTAGAAAAGACTGTATATTTGACTAGTTTGTTTATTATCTCTTCAATGCATGGAAGAGGATAAGCATTGAATTCTGTAAATTGGTGAGTAATCAACACATAACCTCTTCTTATGTCTATTAGTGGGGTCCTTAATAACCACCACCTGGGTCCTCCAGGTATATGAACTTGGTTCAATTATATAGCTTCATTTTTGATGAAATCCATGCCAATCTCCTCAAACTGCTGTGATTTTGTTGTGATTGGTTTACAATTAGGAGACAAGTATGGAAAAAGCAAAGGTTCACTAACAGAAGTAGCAGAAAGAGCATAAACTGGTTAATAGGAGCCAATTTAGGGCCCCTGTATCTGAGCTGAAGAGACTTATGTTTCTGAAAATCCTGTCCCAGTATCATTACACAAGTTCTTTAAAACTTTGAGAATGGCAGACTTATAGCATGTCTTGTTTATTTATAGGTCGACAACACAGAAGCCACAAGTCTGTGTGTTCATTGTGGTCAGAGCCATTACTTGCATTATAATCACCAAAAACCAATTGTAATGAAAATTTTCCATTATGGTGTGAAATTGCCTGATTATTTTGAAAATAAAAATAATAGTTTGTGCTCAAATACTGTTTAGGAGTTATCAACAATCTTAGATGAGCCTTATTTGTATCAAATCTACTGCCTGGCTGCCATTACTGGCATTGTTTGCATACATTTGCCTTGAGTAGTAATGTGTGGAAGCTTACTTAGTTAACTACTTTTTTATAGATCTTCTTAGCTTTTTACTTGTCTTGATTACTGTGCAATTTTCACAAAATTTAATTTAAAATGCCCATGCTTTGCTTAATGCACAATTTTTTTTTTATTTGTAAAAATGAAGCTTTAAATGAATTGTTTTTTCTTAATTGGTATAAATATAAATTTCTTTTTTTCAATTAAATTTTGATTAAATTGGTTAACCAAACAGTTTTTTTTTGTAAAAGCGAAGTGTTAATAAATAATGAATTTTTTTTTTAAATTGGTTTATTAAGTTATTTAGAAAAACAATTGAAAGCTTTTCTAAATAAATATGTCACGACGGGTGAACACTCCCCCCCCCCCAAGAAATAATGATAATCTATCAGGAATTGTTTTGGTTTAAATTTTGATTAACTTAAGACATTTAAATTATTTAGAAAAGCAATGGAAAAAAATATTCTTAAGATAATGGAATGTTTGCTATTTTGGAAATTATTGCAAAAGTTAAATAATTGTCAGATTTTAAGACAACATCCCTAACACAAGTTAAAAAAAAACATCAGTAAAAAAAGGAAAACATTAGTTTTTTATCCTTTCAGGCACATAATTTTTTTTTGTCTTTTCATTGCATTATTACTTGAGGCAAATGTATATAAACAAAGCCAATATTGTCATCCGTTCTGTTGCCGTGATGCAAATGAGATTGAAATTACATTGTTGATAACTCCTAAATGGCTTGTGAGTGCAAACTTTTATTGTTATTTTTTAAATAATCAGGCAATTTCACACAATAATGGAAAATTTTCATTAAAATTGGCTTTTGGTGATTATAATGCAAATTAACCCAAGGTCCAGTTTTGGTGGTTTAAACATTTTCTATATGTTGTTAGGTATGAGACAATATCGATAGAATAAATACAGTAAAATTAGTTTATTGTAAAGAAAATAGCCAACAATTATTACAACTTAAGTATTAATGAACTAATTTCACAGACGACTGTTAGTGACTTAAAAAGTCTGCCTTTGTTTCCTTGTGGTCCTGATGTGTTCATTAAGGGCCAATAACCTTCATCCAACCAGAGTGTTCCTCAAGGTCTATCAATTGTTATTATTACACATTTTATGATATCTCTATATACAAAGTAGAAATGCTACTGATTCTATGATTTAGAAAAAATTTATACCAATCATTTAATTTTTTTCTAGTTATAGATTATTTTGTTTGTGTTCAGTTGGACAATAAATTGAGTAAGTACACTGAAATAGGGGAGTGAAACAAGGATTTGTTTTCCCATCTTCTTCTTCTTCTTGGGGGGGGTGGAGAAGAGCTGGATTCATACCTTCCCCAAGTGTAAGTGAATATAATGAACCTAATTGGAATTGGAACTTAGCTTGCAAATTTCCAATTTTCTGAGCTAATATTAAATTACACCATCTACACATCCAATCTCACAGCACCTGGAGTTCCCCAGCAAGTCAACCATCTGGGCATTGACTAGGCTCAATGTTGCTTAACTTTGGTGATCATATAAGAACAATGTTTCAACATGGTATTTTATAAAACTATAATATCATGTTTTTTTTTATAAATCTATAATATTGGAATTTCATTTTAATTTTTACAATTTTGCAGATTTTATGGTGGGCATAATGTTTTAAGATTGATTATTTTTTGTAAGCAACTCCAAATTAATACACTGTCAACATCTTTAAAACTGATTTCTCATTGGAAACCTTCATAAAATCCAGCCTAATATTAAACAAAGAAAGTTTCTGAATATTTTTTGCTTGTCTTATAACTGCTCCAAAGCATTGCTAATCACCCACATCAATTACTTTCAAGAATGCTGCTGCTCTTTGTGCAAGTCCAAGAAGACATTTTTAACATGCTATCACATCTCTTGAAATCACTCCACCAGGAAATAAAATAGTGCATATTCTATAATGTTTTGCATTCTTTGAGGAAGTCACTTTCTGCTTTAAGTCTCCTGAACTTTTTAGGTACCTGAACGAACAGTAGACAATTCCAGAATTAAATATATCTTGCAGATTATATAATAAAATTACAATAGCATCAACAAAATATCCATTTCTCAACCTCATAGTTAAAACAAGAAATTGTTATACTATATAGTCTAAAATGTTTAAATATAGAAATTTAGGACAATTTCAGTTTTTTTTTAAATCAAGAAATTTGATAAAAACAGTAGCTATAGGACTGACAATTAGCATTTAACATTTTGTTTGCACCAAAGAAACACAAGATCTTAATTTGTGACAAGAATTTCATCGCAATCACTTAATATCCTACAGCTGTTAGCAAACAACACAGATCAGAAACAAAAATTAGGCTCCCAGTGATTTTGAAACTGTTGAGATTTGTGCTGTTTGCTAATAACAGTTACAATGAAAAAGAACTTAAGATGAAAGAAATAATCAAATGGGTTATATTTTATGTAATTTACAAATTTTTACATTTACAAATCTCTTAATAGAGGGTACTTGGCAGGTAAGTAAAAGTAAAAATATCAAGTTTGATGATTAAATTTTATGTCATTAATTTTTCTTCACTTAAGAAAAAAAAGTAGAAAAATGTCAACATCATTGGAACGGTCCTTTGAATTAATGAATTTTCTACTAGAGAAGAAATAAAATAAAGAAAAATGGAAAAAATTGTTCTCATTTAATATTTTCTGCTTCTTTGCAGAAAAGAATGTAATGCTTTGAAATTTTCAGGTAGATTTGGTGAAGTATTTGTTATAGGACAAAGGTAATCCCATAATGGTTGTTACATCTTGTGTATGAAAATTTTTCAAAATAGTTATATTTATAAATAAAAACAGAATAATAAACTTAAGTGAAACCGAGATTTAGTGATACTGAATTTGGAGACATTAAAAACAAGAAACATTTTGACATTTATTAGGTTGTTTGGAAAATAATGTCTGATTTTAGAATAAACATTTTGTTCTAATATACTATAATAGTTGCACAACAAATATATTACTCATTTCTAATGATTGAAGTGTGCTCTTTGCTAGTTTTATATCAATCTCTTTCAGAATCTAACTTAAAAACATTATATTCCCCTGATCATTGACTATGAAAAAAAAAAAATAGAAGCATTTACATTTTTTGCATGAGTTCATGTTTTGCCATAATGCTTCTCAAATTGTTGCCAACATTAATAGAGCATAGAGTGAAGGATCCTCTTGTGATTAGACAATATCATGCTGTGCAAATTTTTTAAGCCAAAAGACATCCCATTGTAAAGATGATGCAGAAACTGCATTCAAAAATTTCTTGGCATCCAAATCTTTAGTTTTATCATAAAGGCATAAATAAGTGTGTAATTTGATGGCAGAAATATACAGATGTTCAGAGTTCCTATTTTGACAGATTTAAACATTGTTTAAATACATTAATTCAGGAATAAAGTTGCCTCTAAAATCGGACATTATTTTCCAAACAATCTAATAAAATAGTGTCAGGTCACATTTAATGCTTTTTGGCAACTTGTTTTCAGATCAAAATAATCCCTTTTTTTATAAGCCTAATCTAATTTCATACAAATTGTTTTCATTTTGTATCAGTCCTGAAAAGACCACATCTTCCTAGCAGATACTCTTTTTTGAGGTAGTGATGTCTCTTCTGGTTGGGCCATATTTAGAGGATAGATGATGGAATTCTATAATCTAAAAATATGATATTGCATCTATGTCATATAAAAAAGATGCTGAGGAAAACCTGCAATTTGTTAAATTTCATTAATAGTGGTTGTGTCCTTCAACATGTCACAAGTCCTGTAACCTATTTAGAGTCATAGGGATACCACATGTACAGTAGCTATAGCGACAGTGGTGTGTCTAAGGCAAGAAAGCATGATAAAGCCCACCTTCTTCATACTAGTTGCCACCTTAAGGCAAGAGAGCTCAGTCATCCCTGCTATTTAACCCATAGCTGGAGGGAGAAGATATAGATTCATACCTTTCCCAGAGGTATTTTTGCAGAAGTGAACATAGTAAACTAGTTGGAATTTGAATTCCGTTTGCAAATTTCTCTTTCGAAGTTGTTAACTATTACATTCCCTGTGAATGCATCCTTTTCATTTAAAATATTCAAAGTATGGTTTCATTTTCTAAGTATTTTTTGAACAATGCACAAATAATCAGTGCAGTGACAAAGAAAAAAGATTTAGTAAAAATAGAAAATATATTTATAAAAACTAACCTCAATAAAATTAGCAAGTATTAGAAATTATTCTTAACAGATGGGGTAAGGAAGTGTGTTTGCTTTACAGAAAGTTGTTACAAATTATTTATGCCTCAATATTCAACAGTTACTTTTATTTTTTTTTTTTGCCAACAATTGAAAACATGCAAAATTGTTTTAGAAAACAAAAGAATGTATGAAAATGTACAATTTCCATAGAACAAATTCTTGCAGACAGGTGGTTAACAGATTAGTTGTGGTTGTGAGTTTAAATCAAAGATAAAGCTTAGTAAATAAATACAAAGTTTGAAAATTAGAAAAGTTTAACTAAAAGAAAAAAATTACCAGGTTTCCACAAAGTTTTCAGTCCCACATTCTCCATGTCAAAAATAATAGTTTGTCCAACAACATCTCTTTTTAACTAAAATAAAGAGGAAACAAAAGATAAAAAAATAAAAAAAAAAAACGAAAAATTAAACAAGGGAGATAACTTAGAATAAAAAATTATTTTTACGTTAACTCCCTTCGAAAATTGGAAAAACTAGTAACTCCCTGGTGGCATAGCTCATTGTGAATGTCGGTAAGGGCAGAACTGGTAATTGTTGAACAAGCGTAAGTTCGACTGAGTGCATCGGCAACTACGTTCTCTGACAAATTAGTCCAGAGACTCTCCCGGCTTCTGTCATCTTGTGACCAACAGGTGCCTTGCGAACATCTCGTTGGGCGTTTTAATAAATAGAGCGTCCAATTTTCTTATAGCTACGTTGAAGTCTAATGTACAATATATCCTTCGATATACTCAAACTGGGATTTACAACTTAATAGTGCCCGGTATTTGTTGGTATTCTTTCCTTCCTGGTAATCATAATTGTTTAAAGTAGGAGTCTCTGGCAGTTAATACCACAATAATAGTTTGTTTTTCCTTCTTTATTTGACCTCACTTGAGTGAGATCATAGTCTACAACTCTGTTCTTTAACTCTGAGATACATAATCTTCTCATTAGCTGTAAAAGTGTAAACTGTTTCACCAGGGCTACTTACAATTTTGAATTCTTTCTCCAAGTGTGGTTGCCAACCTCGGTAAAAGTAAAGAGCTCACTTTACTCTCCCATAGTTGGGAGAAGGATTCATGCCTTTCCCAAGGTAAAATGAATGTAAATGTGAATTACGAGAACAGAACAATAAAATAAAAATGTTAACCCCCAGGCAGATTTGTTTGTTGCATACAAAAACATTTTTTTTTAAATGGGAGGGGTATAATAATTTTTATCTGCACTACTTATGATATCTATCTATCCTCAGAAACGCTCATATTTTCTATAAAAGTACTATAAATTAAGTGGCTGATTCCTTTTTACAGTTTTTAAGCTGGCCTTTTTCCTTACATTTTTAGCATGTGTTGTGTTTATAGTTATTTTCCAATCATAGCTTAGATGTGGCACAAGGCCGAAGGTATGGGGCATCTAGTGAGAATTGAACTCACTTTTCAGTTGTAATGTGTTGTGTTTATTAAGAATGGTAAATCACTATCGCCATAGCAAGGAAAAAGAAAAGAAAAGAGAACTCTCTTGATTGGAGTCTTGTTTTGTAGGTGGTTGCTTTCGGTACCGCCTTTTTTGTGAATAAATCTGTTATTTGTTTTCCTCAGAGTTTGTGATTCATTATAAATACAATAGCATGGATTACATTGGTTTTCTTCCTTTTTCTCTTATGAACTTTTCTTGTGAAATAAATTATTTAGATAACTGCAACAGAGTTTTTTTTAACGTTTTGTACTACACAAAAAGAATTATTGTGTTTAAGGTAGGTATGTGTACTTTTTCACTAAAAAGGTTGCATACCCTAATGAAAAAGACCCCAAACATTTTTAGCGCCTTTTTTTCAGTTGAAAACACATTAATGTGAAAATTCTTGCAAAAATCAATAATAATAAATAGTCAGATTTTAATGAAACTGTCAGTAATTATTAAAAAATGAATGAATTTATTTTAGAAATGTTGGTTTTTTAGAAAGTCATCGTAAAAATATTTTTTTTTTACATCTGATATCCCCCCTTAATTTTATGAAAAGTCGAAACAGAGTGCCTCTGCAATATTTTAAATTAAATACAGAAGACCTTGAAGAATATAAATTTCCGATTTTTTTTGTAAAGAATTCTGAAAATACCCCAACTTTAGCTTTGAATTGTAAAATAAATCTAAGACATTATTTAATTAAAAAAGCTTTTAATGGGTTTTATGAATAATACATATTAAGGACGTTTTTGTCTGAAGCCCAAATTTTTTTTCGATGAAAAATGAATTTTTACAAGGATTATTTTATTTTTTTCAATTTTATGTGAAAAACTTGATAAATGTTTTAAATTAATTTTTAAACTGAATGAAAATGCTCTTATTAAAAAGGTTTATTTTTACAGATCATAAATTAGAAAGCTTACTACAATCTGTTACATGGATCTATTTTTAAATTATTTTTTTATTATGCAAAAAATGTATTAAAAGCGTCTCCGACAAAACTACGGAAGCACATCAATGAAAAAATGTCACGTGTGCTAGAGTTATTTCCCATGATTGCGAGGAATCATTTCTTATTGGCATTACTTTTGTACTTTTAGCACGTGTCAAGTTCTCTGAGTGAACATCAACGTCGCATTTTCAAAATTTTTCTTAAAGAAATAAAATCTCATTTTATAAATGAGTTACTCGTTTCATTTATGAAATGTAATGATATTTTATTTAATTTTTATATTATCTCAGTTAGGAAAAAATTTAATAATAACTGTGACAATATAAAACTTAATTAAAAAATACCATAAGATTTTACGTAACAATTATGATACTTTTTTTGTCTGTTATAAAACTTGAATTGTAAATGTATTTTTTCGTAGTTTAAATGTTATTTTTATTCCAGAATTCTCCCGCAAACATAAGGTAAAAAAAATTGAAAGTGTATTTGTTTTTTTTTTTATTTAACTCTACTAACAAGGTTCACTTAGATTTTTTCAGTTCTGTCCAACCATTCGATAAATTCCCCTGACGTAAGTTGTCGATACATTGACAAACGTCAGTTCACACCTCCCAAAACCAATCACCACGGTTGGAAATATCTCTCCTAAAAAATATTCTGCTAAAATAGTAAATAATGTTTCTTTCAAATTACATTAAGTATACATTAAATTTTCTAATTTTCCTAAAATAACTTTAGAAAAATGTATAATTAATCTTTACAAGATTTTTAAACTGATAATTTTGATTTTGTTTACAAATCATAAAAGTGGCCGATACTCAAAAAAATCAAGGTATTTAAATAAAATTTTTAATATGATAGGAAGGATTAAAAAATCTGAAAAAAATGTTCAGAAAATACTTCGGTCTTTCCTCTTGCTTGATAGTAACATAAACATGAAGTTAAAAAAATTGTTTTATCAAGTTTGCGACCTTTTTCATTAAAGTATGCCACATTTTTAGCGAAAACGTGGACATAAGTTTGACAAACTGCAAGAATGATTTAAAAATGGATAATATTGGTTAACCGTTAATTATGTGCACATACAGTGATATTTTTAAGGTATCCACTGCAGCATCCATAGATGATAAATCATGCATTCAGTCAAGTATTAAGACAACATTGCTTTTAGAAAATAACTCTGATTTTTATTGAGGACATACGAGGTCAGAGATGTTAATAGGCTCTGACCTCGATTCACTTCCAAAAATCCAACGAAGCATTAATTCTTTTTAGGGCTTCTTGCTCGAAATGAGAATTTTTCATCATACTTATTTACATTCAATGACATTTCGTTAGAGGGGAAATTCTTCTTTTTCCTACGGAGGAGGTAAAAAAAGGTGTATCCTTCTTGCAGAATCTGTGCGGAAATTAAACCTCGTTTCTATAACTTGCCAGAAAACATTCTTATCAAGGCGACCAGGCCCATAGAACGACTAAGTATTTACTTTAAGGGACCCATGCCTTCTGCCAAGCACAACACATATTTATCGGTATTAATTGACGAATACTCACAGTTTCCATTCATCTTCCCATGTCCAAACATGCACACTACCTCCAGTAATCAAATCCTTAAATCTTTTGTTCAGCTTAGCTGGGATGCCTGCCTACATACACTCTGAAAGATGTGCACCTTTCATGTCTAAGGAACTGAGAGACTACCTCTCCCCAAAAGGGGTCACGACAAGTAAAACCACTCCATATCATCCAACTGGAAATGCACAGGTTGAATTATTTAACGACACTATATGGAAGGCAATTCAGTTTTAGCTGTTAAATCACGAAACAGCTGAGAAGTACTGGGAATTGGTGCTTCCCAAAGTGCTACACTCTGTAAGATCGTTGCTATGTACTTCTACAAATACAGCCCCACATGAGCGTTTCTTTGCATTCTCTCATCGTTCGCCACACGGGAGTTCTCTCCCATCCTGGCTAATGTCACCGGGTCCCATATTATTAAGGAGGTTCATAAGAAATAGTAAAATCGATCCTTATGTGGACCAAGTCGAACTCTTAGAAAATAATCCGACTTATGCCAACATAAAGTATCCCGATGGAAGGGAGTCTACTGTATCTGTTCGTGATTTAGCACCCTGTCCGGAAACGGAGTTAAACACTGAGTCCCCCACTGTGGAACAAAATAGGAGTACCCTGTGTGTTACGATACCAGAGAAGGGCACATCGTATAACGGAGATCATGCTGGGGTCCAACAGGTCAGGGATCCGAATGGACGACAAGACCCCCAGATTGTTATGGATGGTAATGCTACATTTTTCTAGAAATAAAAAATGTGGTAGTAGTAGTATCCTATGTTCACTATGTACAAGCAATAGACTCGCCCCAGTTGGCTATTTAACTTGTTAACCCTATTTTGCTTTTTGTAGCTGAGTTTCGTTTAGTTGAATAAAGCTTAGCACTTTTACTATTGTCCTGAGATCTGTTTACTCTTACACTTACTAAAGGAAGAGTATGGGCATCTCAACGTGGTGTAATGGCTAGCAAGCTTGTCTCGCTAGAACAATTACGACTGAGTAGTGAGTTCGATCCTCACCGGGTGTCTTATACTTTCGGCTTTGTGCCACATCTAAGCTATGCTTAGAAAAATCACCTTAATACTTTGCGTAACTTTGGGGCACCTCGAGGTGTAATGGTTAGCAAGCTTGTTTTGCTAGAACAATTACGACTGAGTAGTGAGTTCGATCCTTACTGGGTGCCCCCAACTTTCGGCTTTGTGCCACATCTAAGCTATGTTTGAAAAATCGGTACTACAGGAACAGAATTATTACTTTACTTTATTGCATTTATTAAATTTAAGATTTAAAACCGAAATAATCTGTAGCTCAAACCAAGGATAACAAAATTGTTTTAAATTTGTTTTCTCACTTCTATAGAAAATAAATCTATTTTTTTACCTG